TATACTATCTATTCGATACGTATACTTGCGTGGTAGAATTTTAACTGACAATACATCCCCTCATATCACTTGTGGTGATGAATCCTCTATTGACCACTCATTCACCTTTACATGCTTCATGGCATACCCAAAAACACCTTGTTTAGGCATTTGGTTGCTTCCAAACTCGTAGGGGTGAAATCAAAGTATGTCATTCCCCATACAAGATGACCTAGCGCTTCAAGTTTAAGGACTAGTTGCATGACTATTACATGAGAACATTTTCTGTAGACACTTGAGTGACATACCAAATGAAGTTCTCATAGCGGGTCATGTTCAATGCACTTGTTCTTTAATAAGCACCTACATGTTATCCTCAAGTATCCCATATACTTTAATCTATGATATCGATTCCTTACTTTCCAAGTAAGGAGGCTTAACATGTAATGACCAAAAATAATTTTAGGAACATGGATTTGATGCATAGTGATATCATAATTATAACAACATTATAATTCTCTTATAAGGCTTTTTATGTTCCATGGGCTTCAGCCAATTACTACTTAATAACTCTTTCTTATTCCACTAACATGAAAAAAAAACCTCTATCACATAAAATTATGTGATTAAATATGCATTAAATCACAATATATATTCCTTACCCAAGAGTTAAAAACAAAAATTACAATTGCTTTTGTACTACAAGAGAGATAACGAATGTGTTGGCTCGAGAGGTAAAGCCACTTTAAGCTTTGTGAGGATAAAGGTGAACTGGGAGACCCTTTGCAGGCATGGGCATGGGGTCAACGATAATCTTCTCATCAGGAAGCAATTTCTCCCATTTGAACCTTTTGACAAGATTGTGCATGAAAACAAGTATTTCCAATCGAGCATATTCCTTGCCAGGGCACATCCTAGGACCTCCACCGAACGGAACGAATGTGTAAGGAGCTGGCCCATTTCCTTCAAACCTTGACGGGTCAAATTTCAGTGGTTCCGGGAAGCATTCGGGGTTTCTATGTGTTGAGTTTGCACTCCAATATAACTGCACAAGGATGAGGAACTTAATTAAGCAGCAAAAAAAGTTAACCAACCTTTTTTTAAATATATATTATTATATTGTTTTCATATTGGGTCAAAAGGAATATGAATGGGAGAATGGGGAGTCACCTTCCAGCCCTTTGGAATGGAGAAACCATTGAAAATGAAGTCATTGATGGCTTCCCTAAAAGCACCTTGTAGCGGTGGGGCCAGTCTCATCACTTCGCAGGCAACATTCCATGAATACTTCATCTTCTGGATGTCGTCCCAATTGAGTAATTCGCCAGGGGCTTTTGAATTTGCTATCTCAATTTGTTCTGTACAGGAAAAAGGAGGGAAATTAAATTCCAGGCAGGCATATTCGCCAACGCGCTAGTTCAACTGTTGTTGCCGGCTCAATGAACAATCTATACCGTAAAACAATGACCGCCCCTGGCATATTTTCCATCGGCAAGACAAATGGTTTTCTAACAAACATAGTATTGGATCATGACATTTGCATTTACTTTGGAAGTAGGAAGACTTTGTCCTCATCGAGCTGTTATGATTGGTTCACATATGAGGTTTGAGTCTAGAATTTAGGTATTTTTCAAATTACGGGGTTGGTGACTTGTTCAAATCACAGTATTTTGTATGCACTTGACTAGAAAATTAGATAAAAAATTTAACTTATTCAACGAAGAAATCGATACCATGCATCTATTCCAAACTTGGACAGCCTTTGGCTTTTTATAAGAGAATTTTGGTTCACACTAATTTTTGGAACTTTTGCTTTAAACTAATTCCAAAGTGACCAGTTATATTAATTTGACTAATAATAACGTGAACTTTTCTTTCCTTTCCTTCTCTTCACTTTGTATTGGCTAACTTTATGTTTCTTGACCGATTTAATGTAAGCTAATGAGAAAAGCACCAACAGGAAAGGTGTCAAGCACAAGGACATAAAGGAGCAATAATAAGACGTTGTTAATTGGCAAATATATATGTACAAAGATTAAAAGAAGTTATTTGGATAATTTATACGTTTCCGTATTGCATATTAAGAATAACAAGTCAATTTGAAACCAACTGATAATTATAAAAATTTATTTAAGTTTATTAAATAAATTTTTTAAAAAAAAAAACCATGATCTAACAACTTATAATCCTTAACAACTACCTTTATGTTAAAAGTCAGGAAGCTATATTATCTATTTACTTTACTTTCTAAAAAAGATGCCAAAGTATAGTAAAAGCAAACCATTAGAAGAAATTTACCCGAATAAAAACATTGAATAAATGACTAAAATATAGACTTAATTATAGATAAAATTACTAAAACTATACATTTTATTTCCAAAAAATTATTACATGTTAAATTTTTATTACTGAAAATTATTGTTTGCTTTTATTATATATAAAAAATGCTTTCCGCTTCCAATGATAAAAAAGCAAGTAACAATCAATTGAAGATTAAGATGAATAGTCGCATAGAATATCTCCGTAGAGCTGAGAACCTTGAGTACGCATGGCAAGTACAACAAAAAGGAAACAAGTTCAGAGGTAGAGGAAACATACCCTTGTAAACTTCTTCATAGATGTGAGGAAGCTCTGCAAGATACTTGACAATGAAAGTGCAGGCGGCGCTGGCCGTGTCATGTCCTCCAATCAATAATCCAAGGATCTTGTCAGCAATATCCAACTCGTTCATAAACTGTCCATTCTCATCACTCGTCAACAACATGTGGGACAGTATATCTTGAGTTGGTGACGCCTTTCCCTCTGCAAGATCAACTTTTCTTTGCTTGATGATCTTCGAAAGCTCTTTTCTAATGAAATTTGATGCCTTTATGCCACGGTTAAATGGGGTTCCAGGCAGATCAATGGGAAGAGAAATGATCCCAGAAGCCAAGAGATTGAAAGGAGCCTCAAACTTTGCAACGTGGTTGGGATCCTCGATACTCAAAAACAAACGACAAGCTAACCAAAAGGTAAACCTCTTTGCAAGCGGGAACACCACCACTTCATCTTTGTTTTCCCATCCAGAAGCAAAGTGTCTCTGGGCAATAGTATCCATGATACCTATATACCTTTGCAAGGCCTCAGGTTTCAAGAACTGAGGGAGGAGTTTCCTCATTTTTTTCGATTCCTCTTTGGATGAAGTTTGCAAAGAGGATGGGAAGATTTTGTCGACGGAGCTTGGCCACCATGCAGTGACAAGCTTGTTTTCGTTAGAAAACAAGAACTTGTTACCGGCAGCACCGCAGAAGACGGCTGCAGGCTCGCCAAGAAGATTGGTCTTGAAGACCTGAGAAGAGTACTTGGCTATGCGGTCGAATATGAACTTTTCTGGGTGGCCTTTCCATCCGGTGGACAGGAACTCGAGGCTCTCGCCGACGAGGGGAAGGCCGGGCTTGCCTGGAGGGAGGTTAGGGGCGGAGTAGTTGGACTTATGCCTGTAGAAAAGGAGGAAGAGGGAGAGAGTTACAAAGGAAACAAAGAGTAGGAGAAGGGAGAGATAGAAATGCTCCATATTGCGCTTTGTGGGATCGTTGGAGTGTGAGCTTGTTTGCAAAGAATAAGGGGCTTTTTATAAGCTACACTTTCACACCGTACCAACTCTGGTTTTTTAAACTAGAAAACCAGTTCGTACCCAAAATACTTAAAATTTGAACAACGTAGTTTATTTCAACGAGTTTGTTTTCTTGTGAGGTGGCGTTCCAGAGTGGCAATATCAAAGTCAATTATAGGTAGCTCCCCCATTTTTCAACTTGGTTTGGCCAAGATTGCATTCCACGACCATTTTAATTTTACAATTATATAATATGTTTATAATATTTACTCTCTCAATTCCAAATTTAATTAAGTCTTATAATTGAGATATAAAAGCTAAATTATCCCACTTAGAGTTAGTATTTCAATGAAGCGTAACATTAAAACTATTTTTATCTTGCAATTTTATTTTTTTTTAACTTTTATTTAAATTTACTAGCTTAAACAAGTTCTATAACTTAAAAATAAACTTGAATATTTAATTCTGTAGTTGATGTATATATGACCATCATGCTCAAAGAATGAGATTAAAATTTCCCTTCTCCTAAATAAAATAATTTCCAGCAAGTAAACGTTTAGAAAATACTTAATTAGGGTTCGTTCCGCATCGTTATCTATTTTATTTTTAAACAGATGTTTTGTTTCGGCTTTCATCATAAAAGTAATTGAAATTATTGCAAACATAATAATCAATACTAAAATGCTTTTAAGAAACAGACAATAAATAATGATATGATCTAATGAAATAAAAATTAATAATTTTATAAATACAATTATAATATAATTTCATATGCATTGTTATATTATAATATATAAAATATCATCTATTAAAAAATTCTTTTTATATGCATTTCCTTCACATAATATATATAAATATTAAGATAACTAAAACAATTACAATAACCTAATTAAATTTTTTTTTTGACAGGAAATGGTTCACTAATTTTTGGGTAAGTGGTTTACCACCTTGAATGTAAGGATCCATCACCATGATTTACTAATAATAATATTACATTCAAACACAAAAAAAAAAAAAAAATTGTGTAGACAATATTCTAATTTTACGAGTATAACGTTTTCTGATTGGCGATTCATCTCATAAAAAGCAAGCAGAGCCTGATGTCTCTTTCTCATTTGCTTTCTTTTCCCGTAGAGATGCTGCCTTTGTATTTGTATCTCCTTGGGTGTTAATATCTCATTTCCATTAGAAAATACCCAAATGTAGCATCCAATTTGCTTGATTTTGAAAGCATCAGCAAATGTTCTTCATTTCTAGGAAGCATCTCCAATCTCTCAAGATATCTGCTTCACTGAAGAATGAGCTACTTCATTTTCTTGATTCTCTATGCATTAATGGCTCCTGGAATTTGTTCCAGGGTTTTCCCCTTTGTTTCAGGAGCCACTGTGACCGCAAACAATGCATTGATTGCAGAATAAAGAATGAAGGTACCATAGGAGCTCCAGCTCATAAAGAAGTTGAAAGTGTAATAAACTGCCTATGCTCATGTGCCGATCACGAACCCCTAAGTTTGGATTGTGACACTAGAGCCTTGGGATTGACGCTTTAAACCTTAGGGCTTGATCGTTAGGCTTATTTTTCTACCTAAGAGTAGTTAGGATCAACCCTTGACCTTAAGGGGTTAATCCTCATGAGTTCTTGTAGCTTATCTTACATTTCTAGCTTATAGAGATTGACCCCTTTTCATTAGGGGTTGATCCTAAAGCTTCCCAAAATATTTGTAAGTGTTTCCTCTTGTTGCGATCGACCCTCCCTTCCATGGGGGTGGATCCTAAGCCATTCTAGAAGCTTGTTAAAGAGCTTATCATGTTGGGATTGACCCTTCCTTGCTCAGGGGTTGATCCTAGACACATCTTGTAGCTCTCTAAAGCCAATGCCACTCCAAGGATCGACCCTCCTTGTTCAAGGATCGACCATTCATGTCCTGTTCTACAAAAATGCTTTCCTTTGGCCTTTATTTCATACCATTCTCTCATACATCAGTTACCACTTTAATCCAACAACATCATAAGAAGAATTTCATGTAAATAAGTTTGGGAAAAAAATTCATCTAACATCCAACATTATCATAGAGCATAATCCATCCAGATAATTCATTAATAATCAAACTCATAAGGAAAAATTGGAGTTTCACAACAATATAGTTTTTGTTTGATGTAATTAGGTTTTGAACTTCTATATTCACAATACACGATAATAAATATTATTAGGTTTATGATTTTAAATTTATTACACTCATTTTATGGTTATTTATTGGTTTTCCCATAACTTTCAATCTCCCCTATTTGATTTATAACTAAGTTTGGTTTGGTGGAAGAGAGAGCAGATTTTACTTCACTGATATCTTAGTTCCATTTTTGTTAGGTCCAATGCTGAGGTGTTGAGGCAACAGGTAGATACCATGTTAGTTTCTCTTTCCTAATTTTTTTATATATTATTGAGATTTTTTTTTTGGCTTTTTAAATATTTTTTCACTTTTTTACTTTTAGTTTTTATTCCAGTGACATGAGTAAATTGATATATTTAATTAGAGAAACTAATTTTCTAACTTTGGAAAGCTATTATATGTTTATATGTATTTGAAAGTAATATATATTTCTTCTATTTAAGTATATTTGAGAAAACAAAAGTTTGCATGCGCATAAAAAATGTAGTATATTAATTATTAAGTATGACTATTTATGGGTAAATAAAGAAAAACAGATTGTATATAAATTGTTATTAGTAGAGAGTTAAAAATTAAAAAAAAATAAATATGCATGAGAAAATTAAAGATGATCGCAGTGGAATTTGCACGGCGACGCAACACGGATGCTTTGTTTCCTATTGCATTACAAGTCATGCCGTGTTCCATGTGTGTGGCCTGAGTCAGACGAGACGGCGCATTATAGTTCAAACGCACACCTTTTCAACAATATTTGTTCATTACTTTTGATTTGATCAGGAAATTACACTCCACTATCATTCTTCAAGCTGCTTTCCACTAACCCTGCTTGCAAATTCACACTTAACGGAAATTGCCTAATTATTTCAATCAAGTCACAAGTCAAACTTACTGCTTTGACGTACGGGTAAAACACAAAAATTCTCCTCAATATACCTTTAAAGTACACTTTGATCTTTTTGTTTCAAAATACAATATTGACCCTTTTAATTTCTCATTACCATTGCCAATAGTTATTTACAAATATGAAAAGTCATAATTACCTTCAAATAATTGAAAAAGAAAAAAAATAGAAAGAATATCATAGTCTAATTTACTTAAAATAAAAACCAAAATATTTTTATTCAACATTTATCAACTTAAAAAATAAAAAAGAGACAAGTAATGATGGAAAAATGAGGAAAAATTATTTAGGATTATTTTATTAGCAATTCAAAAAAACTCATAATTTTGAAGTGAAAAAATCTTTAAAAATTAAGTAATAATATTCTAATTAAACTAACTATAACTTTTTGTATTTAGGGGGGGTTTTTGTATTTCTTAACCAACCTCTTTTGAGATCAATTTTAAATTCAACCAACCAAGCTCCTCTAAGATCAATTTTAAATTCAAAGCATTCTAAGGTGAAATATTGTAAAATTTGAGTTATTTTTTTATTAAATATTGTAAATTTATTTAAATTTTTGTAATTATTATTGGAAATTCACTATATGGTGTTGGTGTCTTGGTGATAATGATTTTGGATTGTAGTCATGGTGGTGTGTGGAGATTGAAGGAGAGAGAGAGATAAAAAAAAAAAAAGAAGGAATCGTTAAGGCTTTCGATAGAAGGGAAAAGAGAACAAGAGAAAAGCAACGAACAAGGAAGAAAAAAAAAAAGAAAACAATTAAAAAATTATACTTAGTTTAATTAAAATATTATTACTTAAATTTTTTTTTCACTTCAAAATTATGATTTTTTTGAATTGTTAATAAAATATTCTTAAATAATTCATTTTTTTAGTTTTTATTTTTTTTCATCATTATGAATCTCTTTTTTATTTTTTTAAGTTGATAAATCTTGAATAAAAAATATTTTTATTATTTAATTAAATTAAATTATGATATTTTTAATTTTTTAATTATTTGAGGATAATTTTGATTTTTTATATTTATAAATAACTGTTGACTAATATAGTGATGAAATGTTAATGTTTATTTTGAAACAAGAGGCATTAAAGTGTATTATTAATAATATATTGAAGGAGATTTTTGTATTTTACCTTTAAAAGAAACTCGCATACTTGGTAGCATTAATATGACAGGAAAAAACTAATTGGTGCATTACTCATGAAATCCGTAGGTTAAGTCAATAGCATGAATACGCTTTGTTAAAAACTAAAAAGCAAGGTTTATGAAATTAGAAAAGTATAAAAGGATGACTTTTTGGTTATGCTAAAAACAATATGGAGTCGGCGATGAAGCCTACAGATGTACGCGGTGGCAATTGCTCAATATTTTAAGGGTGTTAAAGGATACAAGTGAAAATATGATTCTTTTGGGTTCTTTTTTGGTCACTTTTCGCAAAAGAATTTTGTACAAGAAAATTGTGTAAGTACCAAAGGAGGGAGTTGACGAGTTTGAGTACCAAAGTTTGCACCCTAATTACCAAAAGGTGTAAATATTTCAAAGGCATAAAACTCAGCTTACAATTTTGGAGCTTTGGACAAGTGGGAATTGCTGTGATAATCATGCATTAAAGTTAGTGTGAAAAATATTTTTTAAAGAGTTGATTTGAAAGTGGCACTTTCTTTGGTTTTTGAGTACAACTTGCGGTCTCGAAACAAATAAAACATTTTTAATGAAATTATTCGTACGGGAGTGGATTTTGTGCGCACCTTTTGTATAACATTTTTAATGATATATACGCGCATTAAAACTAATAAGGAAACTAATAAAATTTTTTAATATACTTTTTTATTTTTTTAGGTAGATATGGCTCCGGTCACCAAAGTTGGATAGTAAAAATTTTAAATTAAAAAATAATAATATAAA